CTTGCCCTGTCAAAATGAGAAGTTGAAACCCGCTTTTTAAATTTTAATATATATGTATTTTTCCATTTGCATTCATATGATGCACTCAATAATTGTGTAATGCTTTGAGCTCTATTTCTTCTATTAGGCTTGTTAAAATTGTGTATTATAAATAATTGAATGGGATTACAATTTCAAATCCTGATATCTTGAGTGTTTTATGAATTACAAAAATTTAAGTAACATGAAATATTGTATCATAGTAATTGAGATAAAATAGGCCCAAATCTGTAGAATTGATAAATTCCATCATATAGTTTAAATTCCATCATTTTGGAAGAGACAGAAATGCCACCTCAGAGATGGGATTCTCATAACTCCATAATTTTTTTTTATGAATAATAGAATTTAAATCATTTAATCCTTTTTCCATAAATTCTATTTCCACATATTTAAGATATACTCATCTAACATTGTAATTTATATATGGTGTTTATGAAAAGAATTTCATGTTAGCATCCGATATCATGTACCTAAACATAACATTAGGCAGAAAGTGACTAATAATATTTTATAATTTTATTAAAATTTTTATTTAACATTTTAAAATAAAAATTAATAGTGATCAAGGAAACAAGTAATATTGTGAGCAAGGAGGCAGTAATTTTTGTTTAGGCTTTGATTTAACTAATTTCCACAACCAATTAAATTTTAGTAATATTTAATATTTTGGCTATATATATTTTCAATTTTTTAATTAGGTTAAAAAATTGCTGAGAGCCTACTGTATGGAGTCACAATGGTTTAATGATGGCTGTGTGCCAATACTTGGTGAGCATTTCTCACTGCCACTGGTGCAACCTCAAGCAGCTATAGAGTTGTTATAATAGTTTCGGTTTGATCTGGGGATTATGAGTTTAAGGTTGAACCGAAATAAAACTGGAATTTGGTAGAATTGAGTTTATATAATTATTTTGAATGAAATATTGATTTTGAAATTTATGCCATAATGACTTGTTAGAATTATATTTAAAATTTTGGGCTTTAATCCTTTTTACAGGACAAAATATATAATAATGAGTTAGATAAGGATAAGCCTACATGAGAAGTGAGAACTATTGCTTGACAAGATTTGTTAATCAATATGTGAATTGTGGTTTCTTAAGAAAACCGTTTAATTTGTATAATTTGTAATAAATTATCGAATAAATTGAACTTTTATTCGTAATAATTTGAATTTTTTAATTAATATTCGTGGACGAAATTATGGATGAAGGGAGTAATTTAATAATCGTTTTTTTAATTAAATACAACTTGTTAGTATTAAATTGGAAGGTGAGACGATATGGACTCGGGCTTATGACAAAAAGATAAAATCAAGTAATGTTATTATTATTATTATTATTATTATTTTGAACAAACAAGTAATGTTAAGTTGGTGATTGGGAGTTGGTATTGTCTTATGTTTATGGATGCATGTAAATGGTTTGTATGTGGAATCATTAACTCGGTCTAAATAAGTATTTTTCTGGTTTATAATTGTAACTTGTAATATTAGGTTAATAATTTATCTTAAATATTTGTAGAGTCTTTCTTTAATCTTGATTATGGTGAAGTTGCAAGATTAACAATAGTGACATGTTGTTTTTAGTATATATCTAAA